GGGTGTGAATTGGGGAAGGGCAGCATAGGGGTGTGAATGGGGCCGGGGAGGGAGCAGCATAGGGGTGTGAATTGGGGCAGGGGGAGAAGGGAGCGGCATGGGGTGTGAATTGGGGCAGGGGAGCAACATGGGTGTGAATGAGGCTGGGAGGGCAGGGGATGTATGAATGTGAATGAGGCAGTTGGGGGTGTGACTGGGTAGTGTCAGATGGTATTGTACGGCTGGGTGCTGTGGGAGTGCAGGTGAGGGCAGGGAAATGTGGGGAATCATGGGTACCTAGCAGCTTAGGAGATAGATAGGGACAATCGTGCACAGCTCTGTGGGGACTGGCACTTGCAGAGGATGCAGAGGCAGTGGAGCCTGTGGAGTTGGGTGGAGCACAAGAGCACACATCGGGCAGTGTAGGGATGTGTACAATTCATGGGATGCCACAGGGAGATGGAGCATTCATAGGGATGAGCTGACAAAGGGGCTGTACGCAATGTGGGAAATCAGTGCTGCTACGCCTGTATGTGAGAGAGAGGTACATATTAGGGGTGTAAATTCTAGATTAATCAGTTAACTGATTAAATGGTAGGTTAACCTAATGTTTAACCGGTTATCTGACTAAGCAGGATCCTGGGCTAGGGGCTGCCAGATGCAGGGGAGGCCACAGGTTACGGGGGGAGGGGGCTGCTCCCAGGTAACTGGTTACCCACTCACATTCCTAGTACATTTTGGTGTCTGTGTAAGAATAGTTGACATGCTTGCCTTGGCCCCCGTTACTTTTAACTTCCGTCCCTGGCTTCATAAAGCTGAGTGTGCCCTGAGTTGCTCTCTGAGAAGAAGCATTGACTTAATTGTGTGTAGCTATGCTCAAATTTGGGACAAAATGTTTCTTTCATCAAATAATTCTGTGGGGGATCCGGATTGTCCTGGGACAGCTATGCTGCCTTTGTTTCATAATTGTGAGTGTCTCTGAAATGGGATAGAAATGTAGCCGTGTTAGTCTGGTGTAGCTGAAACAAAATACAGGACTATGTAGCACTTTAAAGACTAACAAGATGGTTTATTAGATGATGAGCTTTCGTGGGCCAGACCCACGTCCTCAGATCAAATAGTGGAAGAAAATAGTCACAACCATATATACCAAAGGATACAATCAAAAAAATGAACCCATATGAAAAGGACAAATCACATTTCAGAACAGAGGGGGGA